CAAACTTTACAAACAAGAACTTTATCTAATTCTTGTAGAGTTTCTGGTCATTAAGGGTTTTTGCAATAGCAGTAATGGTGAGTGTGGTGATTGCTATAATAGTATTGTCTCTGGGCTTCAACTTTATTGAAGTTGCATCCATATTAGTAGGTCTGATTTTGGCATTTGAGAGGAGCTAAGAGACAGTCAATGCCACTATGTCCTATTGAGTTGCATTTAAGACAAATATTTTCAGGGCATTGTCAATAGAGATATTCAAAACTTTGGCAATTCTTACAAGTTTCTCTTCAAGAGGCTTGTAGTTGACAATAGACAGCAATATGTCTTTTGTGATAACATCGATTGCAAGTATTTTGAGGGCAATTGGCAAAGAGGTGGTCAAAGGATTTACAGTTGCCACATATATGAGATAAGGCAGTTTGGATTTGTCATCAAGGTTGGTAGATGGTTTATCTTTCATTGTTTGTTTCTGAGGTAAGTTGAGCAGTGTATGCTTCATGAAATGTAAGGAATTCTTGCTTATAGAGGTTAAGCTTTTTTGGGTCTGTTACTGTTGGTTGGGCAAATAAGACATGGTCACTTTTATAGGATGTTGATACTAAAACCTTTTTGTTATTTCACTTGAAGGATAACAACCATTTTTCTAGTTGTAACTGGCACCAACTTTTTTGAACTAGTTATTACTAAGAAGAAGAGAGTAGGAGGTAGCAAAAACAAGTTTAATGATAATTGAGATAGTCATTCTTTCAATTTCTACAAGAAGGTCTTTAATAATTTCTAGAGGGCATATAGAAGTACTAGTTGCTGTAACAATTAGGCTAGTAAAAGCTTGTTCAATTTTGAGTTCTAATTCTTTGACAGTTTGATAAGCAATCATGCTAATAGCAGCATTACTATTGATAATAGCTTGGTAGAGTCTGTTTTTAAGTTAAATGTTACATTTTATAAGAGTAGCATAAGTAGGAGATTGAACTAAGTTAGCATTTTTGGCTTCTTTATACAGATATGCAGATATAGCTGTATGAATAGAAGGGTTGTTGAAGAACTGTTTTTATTTCTTTGATGTTGTAACAGAAGGGATAGAAAAAGAATCTTCATGGCCAAGGTAGTTAACATCTCTATAGTAGGATGAGAGTGAGCAAAAACTTGTTCTTCTTTTATCACTATTATAAGTGTCTGAGTATCTGCTTCTTTCTTTGGAGTTTTTTCTTTCTCTAGAAGGATTTTGATAGTAAGATCTATTACAACTTCAAGAGCAAGATCTTTGGTTGCATCTATCATTTCTTCTATAATTATCTCTTTGATTGGATTGTTGTTCAGCTCGTCTGGTTCTACATTTAGCAATAAAATATCCTGTATATTCACAGTAGTAGCAGTGATGTGAGTCTTTAGATTGAGGCCTGTTAGAGTTAGGTATAGCTGCATAGTTAGCAGATTGAAGTTGAAGTGGTTGCTGTTTTTGTGCCAAGTTGATACTAAGTTTGGCAATCTGGACTGTTAGTTGTTTGATGTCTTAATTTGTTTTTGTAGTAGTATTGGCAACTATTATATGTCCAGTTTTCAATTGTTTTGCAGTAGTAATAGTAGCATTTAGGTTAGCAGGTTCACTAGCTTGCACATTGATAGAAAATTCAGAGTGTAGTTTTTGAATAAATAATTGCTTAGTAAAGTTAGCATGAAAAGCATTACCAGGGTTAACTCATCTCTTTAATTGTCTAAAACAATTAACATAAACATCTACTGTGTCTGGGTCTTATTTAATATCAAAAAGATATTTTTGCCAAATAGCTTTTTGTTTAGATATGTGGAAGTGAAGTCTAAAGAGATGTTTAAAGCTTCTTTTTTGGTTGGCATTATCATCAAAAGCATTTGGAACAGGATTAAAACTTTGCCACCAATCTAATACAATTCTTTTTAAATATACAGAAGTAAGTTCTAATTTTTGAGCAGCATCTTACTTATTAGCAGTGGCAGCTCTTTGAAAATCTTCAACCCCATTGTTCTGGGTTTTGGGTTCCATCATTATAAAAGAAATCAGCTTCATGAGGGCTTTTTCACTTTTGTTTAAAGCATTAGTAAGGTCAGCTATAGCTTGTACAGCATCTTGTAAAGCCTATTGTGCTATATTGTCAAGTGGGTCAGAAAGGTTATTAAGAATAGATAGAAGTGGAGGAAGAAGTTGAAGTTGAGGTTGAATAACAATAGGTTGAAATTGGATAGCAATAAATTAAGATTAAATAGGTTAAGATTGAACAGCATTAGATTGAAGTATGGGAATAGCAAGTTGAAGTAAAGGTAAAGAAGAAGAGCTATTTTTAAATGTTTGTTGAGATGAGTCAGTAGGAGTGGAGGTTGGGCTAGAGGTTTTTGTAAAGTTTACAAAAGCAGTAATATATTCTTCTGTTTCTAAATTGTCAGTAAGTAGTAGAGAAATTTTGAGTCCAATCAGGAGTATAGTGACTTTTAAAAAGTTCAGTAGGTGTAACTAATTCACTATACAGAGCTAAACTATCTGCTAGGTTGTGTAAGAAGGGGATATTATCAGTAAAAGTAATATCAGTAGTAGGTGGTAGAATATGACTTCCTAAATTTCCAAGATGTTAACTAAATTCTTCTGGTTCTTTAAAGCTAAAACTTAGAGAAGCATCAAGGTGAAGGTCAAAAGTGTTTTGATATTCAAAAGGTAAGATAGAAAGTTAGAAGAGGTTGGTATATCTTCTAACTAGAGTTAAAGCAATTGTTCTAGAATTACTAATGTCTTGTTGGTATTGACAACTAAAAATAATATCTCTAATGCAGAGGCAAATTGTGATTCAGTTTGGATATAGGATAGTAAGAGTAGTAAAGTTGTTCTGAATTTTGGAGAAATAATATTGAGCTACAAAGTTGGTTTCGTACCAAGTTCAAAATTGTCCAAAATCTGAGCAATAACTAGTATATCGTAACACTAAAGACAAGATAAATCTGGATGCTGTGCTTAAAGTATGTCTACTGCAAGATGAGATTCAGTTAGATATGCTTGTTGATGGCTTTGGATGTTTTCATTGTAGAGTTCAGCAGCAGTGTAAACCATAAAAGAAGATGTGTTTCTACATCTAGGACTCTGCCAGAATAACTAATACTTGTCCAGATCTCTTGCTAGAATAACTAATACTTGTTCAGATCTTTTGCCAAGATAACTAATACTTGTCTGAATCTTTTGCTGGAATAACTAATACTCATCTGGATCTCTTGCCAGAATAATTTTCCAATACATTCAGGAATGTTTCATCTAGAGTGATTTGTTTCCTCTAAAAATTTAACCTTTTCACCAGAAGGCACCAAATATTATAGGTGAAAGCCTTTTTAATTTTCACACTATAATAACAACACAGCACAAGGAATCCCTTATGGGTGTATATGGTGTCCAAGAGGGAAGTATAGCTTCTGTTAGATGTTATCAAGAAACTATACTTTTCTTTGAGGCAGTTTAGAAAAGATAATGCAATACTAATAACTTTACTTTATTTCACTAAGGGTAAATAAACTTTGTCTATAGGAATTACCTTAAAGGAGAAGTATTAATACAGTTTATTGTCGAAACCATTTATTAAAGTAATAACAAGAAGGGCTATTCTTAGGTTTCTGTTTTTAAAGAATCCCAAAATGTGTTTACAATCATCATGAAAATTTTTAAGCAGATTTATATTGATATATAGCATTTAATTGATATATATACCATATTTGCGTATAATAGCAAGCTGGGGCATTAATTCGAAATTTGTCTTTTTTAAAAAATCAGGTAAATTACTCAAAATATCACCCATGCATGTCCTGAAATAACATACACCCCACCTTTTATATAACTTAATGCATTTTTTTAATAAGTTCTTTTATAGTATAAGTAACAAAAAACACATAATAAATACTACATTATCGAAATCATATATTTATAGGTTTTAAGATTTAATTATTAGCAGGACAATAAACTCTATAGCTTATCCAAATTTATATCTTCTAAGTTTACTGATAATGTCATATATTATCTGTTGAACTGTCTGCCAGATGGTTCAAAAAGACCTCAAACTACAAGTGTTAAATTTAGTCTTCAATATAACAAGAGTAAAAAATATTTATATTTAATAAATCATTTTTTATTACTATTATACTATTATTTACATAAGGATTAAAAAATTATTATCTGATTATTAGATAAACTATATTTATATGATTTGAAATTAATTTTTTATATTCACTCATTAAATGGTAAGTTGCTTACAATTTGTTAATACAAATGCATTAATTTATTCAATTAATTATTTAGATATAAAAGTGGTCTATATTTATTAAAGTTTAATAGTAATAAAAAGATATTTTAAATTAAACTTGCTGATATTAAATCAGAGATAAATATATTTACTAAAATTAACTTACTTTACAAACTACTAATAGATTGTTTATTAATTTGTAAATTTCTCTATATTTGCTTAATGAAAAGCATTTTTTGTTCGATTACTAATAACTTATTTAAATCTAACAATGCCTCTTTGTGTCTATACAAAATTTGCATTATCACTAAAATCTTGAGCATTTATGTTAATAGCATGTTCATCATATCCAAAATTTATTAAACTTCTGGAGTTCTCACATTTATATTTTCAACGATAATTTATCTATAATATTGATTATAAATTATTCATTAATTTTATTAATTTTTTTTTCAAAGACAAAAATATATATATATATAATAAGCGAGTTTATACTTGAATAGTTTCTAGTATATACCAATGGTGTTTCTTCAATAAAGTTATTTCACATTAAATTTTAGCAATTCTAACCTGTTTTTATTAAGTATCTATCTAATGATAATTTCTCATTATGAATTTTTGACAAGAAAATGTAAGAAATTGAATAAAACAGTGCAAATTTAAAGAAAATATAAAATTTTAACAAAAAATTTACACAGTATCAACATCAACTATATAATTTAACATAAGTTTATAACCTCAGTTTGTGATGCTTTAATCAATCCACCCTTTATCATCAACCATTTTATTAATTTTTTTAAGCATCCTTTCATCAACCATTTCTTCAAACATTTCCTCATCAGTTATTTTTTTTCAAACATTTCTTCATTGATCATTATCTCTTCATAATTACTAAACATTTCTTCATCAACTATCTCTCTATCAAATACTTCATTATCAAATGCTTCTTCACTACCTCCAGCAACTACTACCAAATTATTACTGGTATCTTCTCCATCTAAGTCTATATCATTTATACAATTTTCAACAATAGATTGTAAATGGCTTGACATTTTATAATTCTCACTACTATCGGGATTCAATGTAATTTCAGATGCTTCAAAGGAATTGATCAATAATTCAGAGCTAATTTCTTTTTACATTTTTGAAACACATTCAGATTAGCTCATAAGATGCCTTCTTGCAATTCTCTCTTGCTATATATTTTTTTCTCTCTCACTTATCCATTCATCCCATTTTTTTCTAAACCTACTTTTAAATAGCTTATTAACTAAAATGTTAGGTGGTTGTAGTATACTGGTTGTTCTGCTAGATATTTCTACAACTTCTAGACCCTCTATATTTAATGCCTTTACAACATCATTATGAATATGACTTGCATAATGATCAACAAATATTACACCTTTATTTTTAAAGAATCCACCTGTTGTGCTCAAATAACCTGAAGAATGTATGTAGATAACATTAAATTACAATTCATAGTTGCATAAGATGCTGCTGCTACAACAACATTTCTTGGATAATTTCCTTTTGGCTTTTTTTGTAACTTTAATACCAATGCTAGGAGTTTTTCTCCAAAAGCTGTATATTCTAAAACTACTGTAAAATGCAATTTGTTATTTCCAGTTGTTTTAACTGGCACAACATGTGAACCTCAAAAATCAATAGTTAATTTACTTGGCATATCAAACCATATAGGTGTCTCATCAAAAGAGATAATATATTGTTTGTCAATATCCTTTGTTATATTACGTTTAATTTAAAAAAAAATTTGAACTACTTGCGGCATATCTTCAGGAAACTTTTGTGCTATCTGTGTTCGAGTACATTGTACTAAATTATGATATTGCAAAAGCATCCAACCCAGCCATGTGAAGCTTTAAAATTTTCTATGCTTAATGTTTCACTTAGCTCTTTGGCTTTTTTTCCTATCATAAATGCTATGACATTATATTTTTCTTCACATTTTTTTTTACAAATAATAGTAAATTTTGTTCTAATGCAGAATACATTGGCTTTCAACCATGATCATTAAGTACTCGTACTTCCCTTATGTTCAAATTTATGTAATGTTTGACTGCTTCAAGTTCTGACTTCTGTTTTTTCCACTCTTGAACACATTTTCTATCTATATTGTAGAACTTTGCTGCACTGTATTTAGACATACTTTCTGCATATATATTACTTCTAACTTGAATGCCACAGTATAACTTTTGTTTTTTTTAATGGTAAGTATATCACCCATATTCAAAAAGGATAATGCATGAAAAGAAAACAAATAACACAGGCTGAAAAATTCTCTTATATAATGCATAGTCACAGGATATGCACATAATAGTTTCTATTAACTGAATTTAATAAATTCAGAAATTCTAATATTAGCAGGGCCGATGATTTTCTGTGGTGATAATTAGTTGTGCTAAATTGGTATTTTTATAAAATTTCAAAATTTTTCTTTATATTTGCCTAAAAAAAAAAAAAAAAAATCTTATACAAAAAAAAAAAAAAAAAGGTTAAAATTAAAATATTGAATATTTAAATTTTTTAACTGTTTTTTGCAGCAATTCTGCAATGTTTTATAACATTTCTGTGGCAGTTCTGTGATATTTATAACACTTTCTGCATCTGCATTTTAATTCCATGATTTCTGAGACATTCAGTGCAATGCAGAAAATCATCGACCCTGAATTCTGTTCTATAATATTATAGCTTTTCTAGTTACCAATCTTAAACTATAAACTTGCTTAATACTACAATTATTTTTTTTTTTAAATGTGTAGTTGAAAGGTTTCATTATAAAATGTGATAAAAAATTATAAAGTGTTAATTTACACATTCTAGTTGGACTTCACAAGGGCAGTAATAAATAATTTTAATAATGTTATTAATTTTGTGTTTCAAGTGACTTTTTAGTAACTTTCAATTTTAGCTCAATGAAATTATTGACAAATTTTAGCCTCTGTCTGCTCTTATGATTATTGGCAATTACTGTATATATAATTCTAACAAATTTTTTCTTTGTTAATGCAACAATTTCTTCAATGTCTTGTTGTAAGTAACTGTTAACATTACATTGATCAAATCGAGAAAAGGCACTTCTAAGCACCTATTAATCATGACACTTTAAGTAATTATAAATGAATTAAAAGCAGTAAATGTTAGACAACTTTTAGCAAACCTGCAAGAAAGTAAATAGCATATAGCTTTCCATAGTTTGATTCAACTATTTATAAAGATCATGATTTATCTACAAATCTGAACTTATAATATTGTTAGAGATGTGAGTGCAATGCTGTAACTTGTCATAATTATAATGAGTTACAGCAAAAAATGCCATAATTCATTATAATTATGACAAATTATGGCATTGTGCTCACACTACTAATATATATATGCAGAAACCAGATAGGAAGATGGAAGCCCACTTGGAAGACCCGAGTAGAGAGGTAACCCAAATCTTCAACGGTGCTACTGTAAAGACTAGACTTATGAAACAGAGCTAGAACTTGTGAAACTGGGCAAATGTGCTGGTCTTTGAGGAGGGACTGGATGAACCAACTAGGCTGCTGGAATTTCTGAGTTCTAGAAGAAAAGAGTACATGCCAGCAAACATGTAAACTAGAGGTATGGTCTCACCCTACCTTTCTAGGCTATCTGGAATGGCAGCTTGGTAGAACTTGAATTAAATACCAAAGTAGTAAGGATATGTTGTGAAGTAAGTACCGAGGTTGGGATAAACTCTACAAGGGCATAGTGGTTTAATGATACAACCTGATTGCCAATGTTGGTCTTAGCCATAGCGATACCAGATCAGCTGTAAGAATGGAATACAGAAGATTCTGGAAGTTTAGTACAAGGTCAAAGATTCCAAAGAACTGCTTTTAAGACTTAGTGGCTATGGCATATTTTCACTGGCATCACCCAGGGTCGTTGGTAGGCAGAGGTAGATGGGTGGATACGGAAACAAAGTGGTTAAATAGGGAACCTACAAGTGTGTTCTAGATATAGCAACTAGTGTAGAACCTTTAGGCAGACTACTTAAATTAGACAATAAAAAAGTTGTACGAGTGGCTAGTTGTACACTTTCTCTATAGTTGCCCTCTGTGGTTGTAAAGCAATCATTAGCCAAATATACTATCAATAAAATCCTAGCTCGTAAGTACTCACCTTAATATTAAAAAAAAAAAATTATAAGAAAGATTAACTGAATTCTAAAAAATTGTAATGAAAATTTTAACTAAATTGTATATATAAGAATTTATCAAGTTTAAAAATTCATGTTGAATAGCATGATTTAAATGCCACTTAAACTGTTATTTGAACTGCTACTTAAAATCATTACAACCTTGTAGAATGATCTCACAAAGTCATGTGATTGTTTTAGATAAAAGTTCGAATGACAATATAAATGTTATTCAAATCATACATTATATGTATATATAGTTTTGTTGAATTCAAAAAAAGTTTGCTATTTTAATTTTTAATACATTGTATATATCTCATTATACTTATTAATAAATCCTAATATATAGCTTTAATTACTAATAAACAAAAAATCTAATAAATTAGTTATTTCAAAATAAAATTAATATTTCTAATTTATAATTCAACTTAATAAAATGCTATCTAAAAAAAATTATTTTCATAATGCTTTACTTATTTACTAATTTTGAAAACTTCTATTATAAAAAATTATTATAAATAAATTTTATGAATTGTAATAAAATCATAACAAAATCAGAACTATTAATTTACTATTTTGTTGGATTTCCATATATTAGGAATAGAGTACAATGAAGTCATAGTTATTAGAAAAGTGAAATAATATAACAAATACATTCTTCTGATTGTTTGTCACTTCACCTGACATGGTATTTATCTGGTTTTAAGCCTCTGATTTTATCTATTTTAACTATAAGCATATATCAATGCATATAAAATATATATTAATCAATATATATAAATTGAGTAGCTTAACCAAATTTGGTTATATAATTTTTCTATGAAAAAAAAATAAAAAAAATGTACTGTTAAAATTAATTATCATTATGTAATATTATCTAATTATATATAATGCTTTAGAAATGTAACAGGCACTTATTTTTCAGTTTTTTTTACTTAAATTAGATTACTTGTAATAATTTGTTATATTAATCTAATAATATTACAAACAGAATGAAATGATATATATAGCTATATGCCAAATGAAAAAGTATTAGTGTGATTTTGAAGCTTTTTGTACATTGATTATTATTTTAATATAAATTTGCAGTTATATTTTGTTTTATTTGTAGTTATATCAATATTATCAATTATTAATTTGTATACTATAAATAAAAATAGTTATTAATAACAATAAATGAAGATTCAATCTTTTCTTTGAACTTTTAAAAAAAAATTCTTGTAACTAAATAAATTAATATAAATAAACATTATGATGTGCATTTAGTATAGAACTCACACATCTGGTATTTTATCATACTAAGAACCATAATGTTAATATGAATTTCATTCTGAAATCTATATTCTATTCCTAATTTTGCATAATAGCATTATGCGGTTACCTTATTTATAGTTCTTATAGTTTAAGATTGGTTAAGACTTTTTACTTTTTTAAAGACTTCATGATTAATTTAATATTTAGTAGTGAATTTTATATTTGTAATAAACTATTAATTAATTAAAAGTTACTAAGTATAAAAAACTCTTTTTGCAATTCCATTGTACAAAAATTAATAAAAAAATCATTTGTCTAGAAATCCTTATACCATTTTATTTTACTAAAACAACTGGTCTTGGTGTCTTAAGTAAACGTGTTCAGCTCAGTAATTTACATATAGTTTAAAAATATTACAGATCTAGCTCTAAAACTCATTGAGAAAACTGTACTGACAGTCTTTGGCCTTCAATTTTAGAAAATTAACTCTTTCGCAGTTTCTACTGCAATAACTTGTCCTATACCCTTAATTAAAGTTGTAGTACACATTTGTTTTGTCAAAACAAGCTCTAAAAGAAGAATTTTGACTCAATATTAACTGAACTACAGCTAAATTTAATTTTTACTATTTTGTTAAACTCTTTTTCTACTTTTTGTTCTTACCCTATACTCTTTTTCTCTTACACAGTTTTCATGTAACCATACTATCATTTCCCAATATATACTTTATTAATTTACACCAGAATTTTGTAACCCATCTATTAATAGAAATTTATTGAACACAATCAGTTATTTCCATATTTGGTTCTTATTAATTATATATAGCAATTTGTGTTGCAAACTTTATTTATACCAGTTTCCAACCATATTTGTAATTTCAATCATTTTAGTCACACACCAGTGTGACTTTTGTGACATCTTAATTATACAACCCTTGTTCCTATATCTTATTCTTATAAAATCAACTATTCAATTACAAGAAATCTTTCTAAATTTATAACACAATACTTATTTAATTTATAACAAATCTAAAAATGTCTACATTAAGTAGCCAAAAGTCTGATATTGCAGACCTCAAATTCTTCTACCAAAACTTTTCTAACAGTTTTGGAATTGCCCTTTATGAAGAAGAAAATGGCAATAATGCTCATCCTATTTCTCTTAAAGTCAAACCAACTACTTGTTTAATCAAAAATCTTAGAAACAACAAAATTACTCATTTTTTCAAAGCTCCTACTTCTACCTCTGTGATTACTTGTCTCTGTGGCAAATATTATACTAAATTTATCTCAACTACTAACACTAACCATGTTCAAGCCACTGAATTCACTACAGTTCATGTTAACAGTAATGCAAAAAAGAATCTTAACAAATCAGCTCAACAACTCTTAACTAATCTCTTCTCCTCAACTGACAATATTCCTCCATCTTCTACATCTGATATACATTATCATACTTGTTCCAAATGCTATCTGCCAATTGGTTGTACCAAAAAAAAATGACTGTCATTACCCTAATGAAAAATATGTCACTAAAAATAATAAAGTTTACCATCTTACCTGCATAACTGCCTCATCTCAACATGAAGCTAGCTCATCTCAAACTAAGAAAAATCTCACTTAAACCTTTCAAAACATTCTACATAAATCCTCTCAAACTACCAATTCCTTTACTATCTCTTCTCAACAAATCTCAACTTCTTCTGACCTTATTGATTCCTTCTTTACTAAAACTATCAATGCTAACTTTATTTCTAATTAACCTTCCATTACTAATATTCCTGACAATGCTAATCTAAATCTTAATAA